CCTAGACCCTTTTCTGATGAAGGGTCTAGGCCCGAAACATCAGCCTTTCTGCTCCTGTGATGCTGCTTGGCCTGCTGTGTTCATCCAGCTCTGCACCTTGTTGTCTCGGATTCTCCAGCATCTGCAGTTCCTACTATCTCTGATTCATTATCCAGAGAATTTGTTATCACATGACATAGTTAAAGAAAAAAAGTATAGATACATTTAAGGTGAGGCTGATAAGCATATTGCAGAGGGAAGAAGAGAGGTACATGCCAATATAGTCAGATGAAGCAGCATGGAGGGGACTCATATGGAGCATAAATACTGACAGGATCCAGTTGGGCCAAATAGGCTGTTTCTATGTTAAACTCATTGTAATTCTCTATACTATCCCTTCATTTGCTCTCATCTCTGCTACTGTTCACATGACATTGATTGATAATTGCATGCGCGGTGTAGGATGGGGGTTATCATGGATAGAACTTCTGCTTCATGTTCTGCTTTGCCTTTTATCTATGGTTTGCTTTCTCCAGATCCCTTGGTGTTGATTTGTTGGTAAGCCTTGTCTGCAATTACAAGACCTCTTGACATAGGCATGTAGTGTAATTGTAACTGTTTATTCACACTATATACATTACTATAATCAATTACATAATATATAGATTTTTGTTTGTCATGAGTACATCGTAAGTTTCTGACTGGTTTACATTAATTCCTTGCTCCATAATGCACAGCCTCAAAATATTTCACCAAGTTGCCACAAATCCTGCCTTTGTTCTAGCTGGGCAAAACGGTGCACAATACACAAGAGCTGATGAAGACAGGAGGATTGTGAGCATTCATTCACAAGAGTTCCTGAAAAAGTATTCATAGGGTCTGGTGAATGTGAAGAACAAAAATAGACTGGAATGGACAGCATATCCTTGGGCTTTGACTTTACTTCTTTGGAAATAATTATTGACAGTACTCTTGACCTTGATGTATCTGAGGGAGAGCCATTAGTTACTATTTGTGGCTTGATTTGATAAAAAGGATATTTAGCTCAATATAAGCACGACAAAGCGACACTCATGATTGTGTTAAGTGAAGTGGCAATCAGCATTCACTACCTTCACCAACACAGTGACATGCACTGCAACAACTGACCAAGGCCCCTTAGACAGCATCTTCCAAACCTATGGCCACTACCATCTAGAAGGACAAGAGCTGTAGACATATGGGAACACCACCACCTACAAATTCCCCTTCAAGTCATGCACCATTCTAACTTCAAATTATATCACTATTCCTTCACTGTTAGTGAATCAAAATTCTGAAACGTACTTCCTAACAGCATTATAGGTGTATCTATAAGGGCAATTAGCAATAAGCAATAAATGCTGGTCCAGCCATAATGGCCACATTTAATGATTTTTTTTTTTAAATGTAAAAAATGTTAACGGATTATTCAGCCTGAAACCCAACAAGCCAATAAGAGCAAATAACTTACAATTTTCAAAGTTACCTTTGATTCATCACTTTGAACAACCACTTTTTTCAATAATTATTGCCAGGTGACCACACTGATGGCTGCCCTTCTTTTACTACACCTCTTCAACATCCACAACCACACAATGCTAATTCTGCTCCTGTGGCTGCCTTGTTAACCAAAATAACAGTACAACACACGCGACTGCAATCATTTGGAAAGTTGCAGCTAATGAAATACCACCCAAAGATCAAGATATTGAATTCAAGGTATCTAGGAACTGTACATCATAGTAACTGCACATAATGGCACAACAGTAACTTAATCACGAATTACCACTTACCTCCCCTTCTGTATCTAGGCCAGCAGATGCCTACTCTAAAACTAAGGTCAGGCTAATTGGATATATTTATAAGAGATCGGTCAGGTTCATACCACTGTTACAAAACACCAAATTGGTTTTTAAGAGTTAAGTGATCCAATTATGAACAGACAATACTGCTGTTTAAAATTATAAGTTTTCTTCTCAGGTGCCTTATTTCAAAAACTTGGTTGATTTCTTCAGTAGTTCTACAAAGACCAATCTTCAAGTGCATAAATGAACCTTGTAATAATTTCTAGCATACGTCATGTCTTCATCACAGGGAATTATTTAGCCTGTGTCAAACCACATGGTTAGAATGTGCAAACTGAACTTGCTACAATCTCAGCACTTAGGGCAGAATCTTATAGGGGTCTGAGTGATGTGAGCTACACTGAGATGTGTGGTGAGGCCCACCTCGATTTTGAGATTGTCTACCTCCATCATTTATGCTTCTCTCATGCAGTGTGATGAGATTGGCAAGATGCCAATTGTTGGGGATTAATGCTTGTTAAACACCTTTTTGATGCCACAACTCACCTCATTAACACTGAAACTGCCATCTTATAAAATTCATGAAACAAGTTAGACATTGGAAAAAACTGGAGAAGGAAACCAGAACACACACTGGTAGCCAATACCATGGCATTGAACTTTGGTACTTTAGTGTTAGGGACTGGGGACTGTTGTCCCTGTGCAAGGACACAGTAACACAGTAACACAGTACAACAGTGGAGGTGAAGGGGAAGGGGAAGGTGGGCAAAATCTGGTGAGGGTTTCCTCACCCTGGAAGAATGAAGAAGGTCATTGACCTTCTTACAACACTGCTGGCATTCCATTACACCATGGAAACTTCACGTACCTGGGTGGTGACCTCAGACCGGGCTACGAGGGTCTTGTGACCTCCTATGCCAGTCTTCCAAGAGGAGGATGCCTCTCCTCTCCTCTGCACCACCCCATCCACCAGGACTTTCAGGTCACAGTGTCGTCTCCCCCTTCTCTGAAATGTTCATGCTTTGTCCACCAATGAGCAGGGCATCTTCAGAATGAGAGTGCTCCCGCTGGTTCACAGCAGCCTTCCAAAAATGGCACAGCTGCAAGGGGTGCTGAAGGTCTTTCAACAGACACCACTGAGCGGCAAGTTATTCGGGCGACAGCGTGTAGTAAGATGAGACTGGAATTGAATGTGAGAGACACCCCCGCAGCATGGTAGGTAATTGATGTGGCAGCTTTAGTTGAGTAAAGCAAGTTAACTCACGAAGCCTCAAAGCAAAATACCCTCAAATAAACTCAGTGCAATTCTGTCTTATCCAATAAGGTACCTTCTAAGCTCAGTTCATACAAGCTTTTTTTGAAAATGGAAAATTAGAATTAAAGAATGAGTCTTTATGTCATTGATTAAATTTGCGTTTTAAACAGCAATCATACACTTGAATAAAAAAATCAGCAATCGGCAAAATTAGTCCAGTTTTTATACATACTTATATCAGTATAAAAAGGAGTTTGAGAGAGAGTGAATACACATATCAAGGTGATTGTTAATATAAGATGAGGATAGAATTAGATGTGAGGGATGCCAAAGGGGCAAGGTAGGCTATTAACGAGATGAGTTTGGTAAGATTCAACAAGAAAACTTGCTAGGCCTTGTTATAAGAATCCCTTCAAAAAAAAACTGAATGGAATTCACATTTAGCAAAAAGAGCAAGAGATTCAGACCAAAATTAAATATTACAGAGAATAACATCACGAACGACGACCATTAAGTTAGTTTAGGACTTATGGAGATAAGATAATGGCTTATTGTATAATTTTTACCAATATTGTTAAACAAAACCATTACATTTGAAAAAGAATATAGGTGGATTTAGAAAAGTCAGTGATATGTAGGTGTTGCTAGTTTTGATGCAAGCCAGATCTGATCTTCTGGCCAGATACACAGTCATTTACATTTCAGAAAATCTTACACTCCTTATGTATACAAACTAGTACAAATAAATACCCCATGTTTGTTGTAGAACTTACCTCAAAAGCTCTGTTGTCCTTATTATATTGGACTACATCCATGAAATTTCCAGCCAATGTCTCCAACAAATAACCAGAATCCATTTCAGATTTTATTTTAAGCTTGTCACATAAGCTGAGAGGATGAATAGTTTATGATTTTAAAGAAAAGTATATTCAAATTCTAAGAAAGGAGAGTATTGGTTAAAATACTAATTTATATAAGTTAGCCCTACTTGATAAACATTAAACATTTTCCATGCTAATATTACTTTATGCTATTTTGGTAAATATCTGCCAATTTTCATTAAAATGTGCTTTTGCAAACTCTTTATACTTGAGCAAAGTCAATGAATAAAACACAATACTAATACAGATATTAAGTATACTTGAAGTGATCAATTGGGTTTGACAGAAAAAACAGGATGCTCAAGCCATGGAACAGTCAGTAGCCTAATCCCAACGTTAAAGGACTAAGCTGTCAGAAATAACAGGTGAACCAAAGTGGTTGAGAAAAAACTCAAACAAAAATGGCATTGGAAAAAGCAAAACGTGGCTATTCATGCAAGTCATGAAAGTAGAAGATGAAGATGCAGGTTCAAGGAAATAAAGGCACATTTACAACTGTTGCTGGAAGGCAGGAAGATAATGGCTTGTGGTAATATCACTGGGCTAATACTCCAGAGGCCCAGCTAATGCTGTGGAGTCACTGGTTCCAGTTTCACCATGGCAGTTAATGGGATTTCAATTCAATTAACATGTTTGGAATTTTTCTCCATAATAGTGACCATAAAACCGTCAATTGTTGTAAACATCTATTTGGTTCATTTATGTACTTTATGGAAGTAAACCTGCAGTCCTTACCTGGTCTGACCTACATGTAACTCCAGATCTATGCAGCAATCTGGCAGATTTTTTCCTTCTTTTATATCTTGAAGTGCTCTCACACAAAACTGATTTTTTTCCATCACCAAATGACTCATTTTTTTTTCATCTATTAACCACCACTAATAAATCACCCATGTTTTTCCGATTGGTTAATTTACTTGCAAAGCCTGTTAAGGGCAATGCATCTGGTTGATTCTTAAGTGTCATCTGAAATGGTTTAGTAAGCCACTCTGTTTAAGAGCAATTAGAGATGGGCTGCATGTGCTGGTTTTGCTAATGAATCCCTCACCCTGTGAAAGAATAAAGAAAAAGTAGGCTTTCCTTGGCAGAAAACATAACTGTTCTATGGAGTGGTTTTCGGAGCACACATAAAATTCACTGAAAAATTGAACAAATTGCTAAACTTTGGCATTGGGTAGTGTTGGTGTGTGGTGGTGAACTGAAAATAGGTCATATTGTGTGAGGAGAAGACCAACATATAAGCAGTAAGAAGACTATTAACCAAATAGAAATTCTGTACAAAAATTCACGTCGATTAAAAAAAAGTGTTAGAAGTAAAAATTCATTTTAAAGGATTTGTTGCAGCCATTATTATAGAGTCCTGGGGCTGAATTATTGTATCAATATTGGAGCATGTACAGAGGTGTTTAGGTGAAAAAAATCTGTATTATTGAGCAGCATGCTGATTTGCTGGCACCATCCCATCTGACTAGCACTCAGTGCTAACAGGCGACAACAGCGCAGAAGGGCACTGTGCCTTAGCCAAGATAGCATTGGAACCCAGAGTACGGATGACAAACCTCCAAATGCAGCACCTGCTATTTTACTGGGGGAAGAGCAACGGGGCAGGAAGCTCAAACATCCACACTTCACAGAAGGAGTAGCACACTTAAAAGTGCTGCTGTTTTTAATCAGAAGCAGTTTTTAGATTTTCAAAATATGATTTGTATGCTTTAGACATTTGAGGAAACAATCAAAACCTACTAGAGTTGTTTCAGAGGCAAAGTGTCCTTTGCGAGGAATCTGGATACTCCTTTGGGAGAGGTCAGATACCCTTTGGAAACTATCCATGTACTCATTTGGGATTGTTAAGAGTGGACATGAATCCACATAAAAACACAGATAAGATTTGTGGAACTGTCAAGCTGTCAAGTATTGAAATCTCCTGCTCTTTAAATGCTAAGAAAAAGCAATCTGCAGTTGAATGAAAATTGCTTGTAACTTCAATAAATGATTGCAGGAAAAGCCTGATGCCTATCAGTATAGGATTAGTGCAGCTTGGCTACTGGACTGCTTCCATAACCCATCACTATCACAGTGGGAGTTTGGAAGTTAACAGTTTGACTTAAAGCTCTAAGTAGTCATTAATTGATTGGCTGTTTTGACATGAGTACCTCTATACCTATCCGCTGTTAAAATTTTACTTATATGCTGAATTCCTGTTGACTTTTCTATTATAAATTCCTACATCAACAATTACAATGTCCAATGAACAGGGCACCTTTAGAAATGTGGAGTTATAATTCCATTTCGTTGATTGTGGTGAAGAACAAAAGGGTGAAGGCAAATCAAGTCCTCTTTACACAACAGTCATCTGTTCTATTCTACAATGTAAAGGTCCATAATCACAAACAGCCATTTTGGCAGCTGCTTTCAAATAACAAGTATGTAAGGTAGACAAACAGGAGGCTGGGAGAACACAGCAGGCCAGGCAGCAACTGGAGGAAAGGAACAGTCAACGTTTTGAGTATAACTCACTCAGAGATAGTAAGAACTGCAGATGCTGGAGTCAGAGATAATTCAGTATGGAGCTGGAGGAACACAGCAGGTTAGGCAGCATCAGAGGAGCAGGAAAGTTGACATTTCAGGTTGGGATCCTTCTTCAGAAATTAACTCAAATTCCTGAAGAAGGGTAATACCAGAAACATTGACTGCTCCTTTCCTCCAGATGCTGCCTGGCCTGCTGTGTTATTCCAGCTTCCAGTTTATCTACCTTGGATTCCAGTTTTTTTTGTCTCTAAGTACATAAGGTAAGTGTGAGGCTAGGGTGCAGGAAGGATAGGGTGCCAGGTGGGGACAGAGGGTAGGATACCACTTAAGTAGGCTGCCAGGGTGCAAAGTGGCAAGGGGGCCATGTAAGTGAGCTGCCTTCTTGAACCGCTATAGGAGCACCCACAGGGCTGTTAGGAAGGGAGTTTTAGGAATTTGGCATAGCCGTAGTGACAGAATTGTAATGTAGCTTGAAGTCAGGATGGTGTGGTATTTGAAGGTGGTGGTGTTCCCTTGCATTTGTTGCCCTTGTCCTTCTAGATTGTAGTGGTCACGTTGTTGGTAGGTATGGTCAATGGAGCCTTGGCAAGTCAGTGTAGTGCATGTTGCTGAGGTGTACATACCACTGCCAATGTACGTTGGTAGTGAACAGAGTGAATGTTGAAGGCAGTGGATGGAGTGCTAATCAAGTGGGTTGCTTTGTCCTGGATGGCATCAATTTCCTTGCATGTTGTTGGAGCTGTATCATCCATGTGAGTGGAGACTATTTCATCACACTCCTGACTTCTAACTTGTAGATGGTGACAGGCACTGGGAAGACAGGAGGTGAGTTACTCGCTGCAGATTTCCTAGCTGCTGACATACTCTTGTAGCCACTATGTTTAGAAGGTTGGTCTGGATCAGCTTCTGTTTCAATGTCCAAAGTAACTCCAAAAATCCACGGTGGATATAAGTATTTTGACAGCAAAGTAGCAAAAAAACTGGGCTGTCAATACTAACAGATATGTATGTGTCACTATTGAACACTTAATGCAGACATTGATAAGGTTGTTACTATTATAAGCAAAATCATTAAAAGAGAAAAGACAAGATTAGGTACCCCAACATAAAATAAACATTGCTTAAAGAAAAAATGAAGAATTTATGTCCAAAATGTGATCATGTAAGAGGTGTTAATGAAAGAACACTGCCCTCAAATGGAGCATCAGAAAAATTCACTTTACTGAAACACAATATAAATATGGATATAAATGTAGTTTGAATATCTGGACTATTTCAGGCTTTGGGATTGACAATGTGCTGGCTCTTTGCACCTGGAATTGTAGGTATAGACATAGAGACCCAGAATTTCCTGAGATTCAGCATCACTAGCAGCACATTCACACTCTCAGGTGTACAGGAAATTCTGTGGAGAGTGTAAGTAGTTTGAGACCTAAGCATCTGAGTTGAGGCTGATCATGGGGTGCAGATTCATAGTTCCTTAAAAGTGGAGTCAAAGGTAGACTGGATAGTGAGAAAAGTGTTTGGTACGCTTCCCTTTATTGTTCAGTGCATTGAGTGTAGGAGTGGGGATGTCATGTTGCGGCTCTACAGGACATTGGTTAGGCCGCTTTTGGAATACTGCGTTCAATTCTGGTCTCCCTGCCATAGGAAAGATACTGTTAAACTTGAAAGGATTCAGAAAAGATTTACAAGGATGTTGCTGGGTTGGGGATGGAGAGGGGCGGGGGGTGGCTGCAGTTGAGCTATAGGGAGAGGCTGAATAGACTGGGGATATTTTCCCTGGAGCATTGGAGGGTGAGGAGTGACAGTATAGAGGTTTATAAAATCATGAGGGGCATGGATAGGGTGAATAGACAAGGTCTTTTCCCCAGTGTGGGTGAGTCCAAAACTAGAGGGCGTAGGTTTAAGTTGAGAGGGGAATGATTTAAAAGGGACCTGAGGGGCAACCTTTTCATGCAGAGGGTGGTGCATGTATGGAATGAGCTGCCAGACGAAGTGGGTAAGGCTGGTAAAATTATAACATTTAAAAGGTACATGGGTAGGAAGTGTTTAGAAGGATATGGACCAAATACTGGCAAATGGGACTAGATTAATTTAAGATATTTGGTTGGCACGGACGAGTTGGACCAAAGGCTCTTTTTCCATGCTGTATGACTGTATGACCCTATGTTTGTATTTACTTAATTGATGTCCATGTGAATATACTTCCCAGAAGAAATCAGCAGAAAGTGGTGACAAAGTGGCAATGTCAGTGGATTGATTATCCAGAACCAGAGGGTAATGTTCCAGGGATATGGGCTCAAATCATAGCAGATGGTGAAATTTAAATTTAATGGAATCTGGTATTAAGATGTTAGCGTGATGGTTACTATGTAACCACTGTTGATTGTTGTGAAAAACACTCTGGTTTACTAATATCCTTTAGGTAAAGAAATCGGCCATCTTTACCTGGTCTGGCATACATGTAATGCCAGACCCAAAGCAATGTGTTTGGCTCTTCACTGCCCTCTGAAATGGCCCTAGCAACCACTCACTTGTATTAAACAAGGGGATGAGAAACAGACCGTCAGGCGTTGACTCAGATACCAGAAATAACAACAACAACAAATATAGCTCTGTCACCTGTGCAAAGCCCTCCTTACCAACATCTGAATGCTTGTGCCAAAATTGGGAGAGCTGTCCCACAGACTAGTCAGACTCACAGAGTCATACCTTAAAATATCCCAGAAAGCACCACAACCATTCCTGTTGATTATCAGCTAGGTCCCCCTTTCTCCCATCTGATGAAGCAGTAATTCTCCATGTTGAATACCACTTAGAGAAAACAAAGAGGGTGGTAAGGGCACACAATTTACTCTGGTTGGGGGGGACTTCAATGCCCATCACTAAGAGTGGTTTAGTAGCACCACTACTTTATGAGCTGTCCAAGTCCCAAAGAACATAGCTACTAGGAAACATTCATTTGACCCTATCCACACCTATCTCCCTGCTGCAGAAGCATCCTTCCATGACAGTATCAGTACGTGTGACCACTTTACATTACTCGTGGGGTCGGAATCCCTTCTTCACATTAAGGATAGGGTCCACTGTGCTAGATGGGACAGACTTCAAACAGATCAAGCAACTCAAGACTGAGATGAGGCCCTGTGGCAGCAGCACAACTATATTTAACCACAATCTTATTGACTCCAACATCCATGCTGTGGATCATCCCTTAGCACCTACCCCATCCCAGCCCTCAGATGACATCACTTTCTGTCCCCCTGAGGTCACTTCCCCCAAACCCCAGCCCTTGCCGTGTGTTCACCATACTCCTGATCTTCCCCTCCCTAGGCTGAATGTACTTTCCTCGGCAAAAGACTCAGCTTCACACCGTTATGCTCCCACCTTAATGAATTTCAGGCTCGTCATGATTTTGAACTGTTTTTCCACCACCTCCGTCTCCACACTCACTTCTTCGGGCAGGACTCCCTCTCGTTCCATTGATCCCTTTACCCATCTCCAGAATTCATCCTCCACTTGGACCCGTTCCCCAGCCTCTTATCTGCCCTTGATCTCTTCATTAAAAACTGCCGTGACATCTGCCATCTCAATTTCTCTGCTCCTCTCACCCACTCCAACCTGTCCCCTTCTGAAATTGCCGCACATCGCTTTCTTAGGTCCAATCCTAACTTTGTTATCAAACCCACCAACAAAGGTGTTGCTATTGTAGTCTGGCACACTGATCTTTACCTTGTGGAGGCTCAGCTTTAACTCTTGGACACTTCTTCCAACCACGCCCTGGACCATGACCCCACATCTGAACACCAAGCCTTTGTCAGCAGGACTGTCACCGACCTCATTACCTCCAGAGATCTTGCCCCCACTGCCACCAACCTGGTAGTCTCCCAACCCCAGACAGCCTGCTTCTACCTCCTTCCAAAAATCCACAAACCAGACTGCCCCAATAGGCCCATTGTATCAGCCTGTTCCTGCTCTGCTGAGCTCATTTCCTCCTACCTTGACTCCATCCTGTCTCACTTGTCCAGACGCTGTGCGTCTACATCTGCGATTCCTCTGTTGCCCTCCACCATGTTCACAATTTCCAGTTCCCTGGCCCAAAATGCCTTGTGTTCACCATGGATGTCCAATCCCTCTATACCTCCATTCCCCTCCAGGGTGGTCTGAGAGCTCTTGGCTTCTTCCTTGACCAGAGGCCCGAACAATTGCCATCCACCCCCACTCTCCTCTGCCTGGCTGAACTTGTTCTCTCACTGAACAATTTCTCCTTTAAGTCATCTCACTTCTGCCGAGTCAAAGGAGTGGCTATGGGCACCCGCATGGGTCCCAGTTATGCCTGCCTCTTCGTGGAGCATGTGGAACGATCCTTGTTCCAGTTTGACATTGGCCCCTTCCAACAACTCTTTTCTCAGTACGTTGACCACTGCTTCAGAGCTGCTTCATGCTCCCGCCAAGATCTTGAAAACTTCATTCATTTTGCCTCCAATTTCTACCCCACCATAACTTTCACATCATCCATTTCCGACACTTCCCTTCCTTTCCTTATTCATCTAGCCTATGTGGGCAAGGGACAAGGGCACGGAACTGCTTTGGGGCTCTCCAGTTCCCAATGGAGGACGCTGCCTGAAAGGTCATTTCTCCTTTGTTTTGCCATCTCACTCCTTCCCCCGCCCCACCCAAGTAGCCAATCAAACCTGGCCTTCCACATCTCTCACCCAACTACTTGAGGTTCTGCCAATCCACCAGAATGCATGTTAATCTGGACTGCATTACTTGCTCTTCTTCAGGGACTAACTGCAGTCCCCACAGTGCCCACCACTCAAACATGCCACTGCTGGTTCTACAGAGATGCCAGCCAATTGGTTTGGTTGACAGCTGTTAATGACATGATTTTCTCCCCAGAGAGGATCAACTCACTAAATATAAAATATAGGAGAGCCAATTTCTTGTGGGTAGGGTGCTGACCAAGTGTTTTTTTTAATCAGGGGTCAGGGAATACTTGACCCACAAAATCCAGCCCGATGATTAAAAGTACTTTCTTTCTGTGCTAAACCCATTTTCTGCTTTTTATAACTCAAACAATAATTATATCAAGGAATACATTTTAAAGCAATTTTAAAAATGCTCCCTAACTGTCCTGGTTCAAGATAGGTTTGAACTTTGGTGATGTAGTTAAGTTTAAGCAGAAACTCAAAAAGAACAGTTCTCAAAACAGATGAATTTAAATTGTGCCTAAACCACCAATAGTGGCCAAACTGAAATTTTATAGATAATGTTTTACTTGATGTTCTGTGTACTTTTAAACTGAGGCACCTTAAAAGAGAAGGATTTTTCATCAAGTACTACTACTTAAATAATACTTTGCACGGAATTCTAGTTATTTTTAAGCACGTGTGTCATGTGCGTGTTTGTCTGTGTCTGTGTCTTTCTATGTCTGTATGTGTATAGAAAATTATCTTGTATTGGTTAGACAGGTGGTCACAACTACAAGTCAAATCCATTTTCAGATTAGTAAAGACAAAAGTGTCATTTAAGAACTAACTGAATGCCAAATGAAGGATATGTGAAAGCTATTCAGGGTAGCCTAACTGACCAATTCCACTAGTAATTATCTTTTGAGCTTGGAAGTTGTTGATGTCCAATGATTTCACCCAGTGTTGCCTTTTGAAAGGGTTAGCCTGATAGTAAATCAATATTACAGTACAGAGTACTGTGCTTGTAACATTTAAATTGTTTTTAAATAAGTCCAAGTAACTTCATAGAATGCTTCACTTTACAGCTATATGTTTTTTAAATCCTCCATACTTACCGGAAATCTCGAGTTATCTGTTTATATGTGCTAGCATTTGCCAGTAATTCAATTAGTGTGTCAGAAGCATCCTTCACCAGCAAAGGACATGGAGTATTGACACTTTCCAAAGAATAATTAACCACCTCTAAATACTCTGAAAAATAATGAAAATGAAGTCCCAAATTATTTCCAATTCTTCTGTTGTCAATTTAACAGAAGTTGTAAATTGTGATTGAAATTAACAGTAAAGCCCAGAAAAAAGTTCAAGTGTGTGTGTACATGTATATGTATATAAGGCAATCAATCAGGTACAGACCCAACATTTAACATCCAGATCAACAAATGATATATTCAAGTAAATGTTGCACAATTTTCTTTTAACCAATCAGTTACATAAATTCAACCAATAGATAATCTCAGAAAAAAGATCAGCAGGTCTTACCTTTTCTGATATTGAGTTGTACTAATTAAGATCTGTCACAGAAATTCACATAATATTCTACCACACTGTACTCTGTGCATTAGTTGAGAATAATCTTTTCATTCCAATTTTTTTTGATCAGACACTCACAGTCAGGCTAGATATGTTCCAAGTTCGATAAGGTTCTTTTGGTAATCTTAACCACATTTTTTTTTCCTGATAGATATCCTTCAACTAACACCACAAAAATATATTGATTGGATGGTTATCTCAGTTTTAGTTGTGCAACCTTGCAGTGTAAAATTTGGCTGATCCTCTTCTCCACTTTACAGCAAGAGCTACACTTCAAAAGTACTTCATTTGCTGTGAAATGTTTTGGAACATCCTGATATTGTAAAAGGTAGTGGATACACTGATTTTTTTTTATTCTTTCAATCATCAGGTAACGTACAGACTCCAAATGTAGAGAGTTTCTACACTCATGCCCTAATAGTATGTTTCAACAACAGCCTCAAAAATCAATCACTAATGCAGTACTATTTCCACTCCAGCATTCTTAGAAACGGGGTTGATTAGTTCAAATTGTTTCAAGTTAATGGTACCTTTGTTTTGTCAATTGATGTTCCAAACTCATTGGAATGATACATGTTATTTTGCACACTGAAAGATATGATTTTTGTTTTATCAATCTGTGCTGCTTTCAAACTTAGGCCTGACTTTTCATGCCTCTAACAATGGAAAGAAGGTAGCCAGTGGCTGGGGTAGGAGTGTGGGTTTAAACAATGGAGGGTGGGAACCTGACTCCAACTCCATTCCCAATGCCCCCCAGTTTGTGTTGTCATAACAGTGAGGGTCGCAAGCCCACACTCTGCACTCCTGGCCTGGCTAGTTCCACTTTGAGATAGAATCTTCTAGCCCCTTGAAGCTTTGATGGAGTTGGGTCAGCTTCTCCACGACTCGTGGTCATGGCCCCACAGGGGTGTCATGAATCGTAGTCTGGATGTGGGAACTTTTGAAAGTTAAAATCAAAAGATCTTACCCATGTCTGCCCATGTTCCCTCCGTACCAACTCACACCATCAATCTACGCCAAAGGTTCATTCTAGCCTTCCTGATATGTGTTTGGCTGAGAGTCCAGACTACTTTATTAACAGAACTAACAGTCAAGGAAAATTTTGCCTAATTGTCAATTCCTTGATGCTATAATAAGCCAATTTTCTGCGATCTGTTTTATCAATAGCCAGTGTTTATTTGTTGGAGATGGAGAGGTACTGAGTTTTTATGGTTTCTGATATTGACACTTCTGGTTGATTAACACTTTTATACTTTATTGTTACTATGGGTGTGATCTTCTGACCTTTTTTAAAGTGTTGGGACGAACATTTTAGGTGAGACTAAAAAGCCACTACCACAACTGAGAGAATTCACCGAATCATCTACCAATCAGCTCATTAAGAGCCAACAGGAAGCATGATGAGTGTCTCAACCAACACAGTCCTTGACACTGACGTACTGGGTCACCAGAAGCTTCTGGCCAGTTAGAAGCTGGCAGGTTCTGGGTCCTAAGATCTGCTGGTCAGGGTCAAGTCCTTGGGTGATCCAGTGGGGGTGAGAGAGTAAGTCATTTTTATCTTCTCCTCAAGGAGTGGATATTGGAGATAGTGGAGCTGGGGGCATGGCATGTCACAGGCAAGAATAAAGAACTGGATTTTAGAAGCCACACACACGACCCATCTGTCCCTCCAATTGTGCAAAAGTTGAGGCAATTGGAGGCTGCCCTAATTCCACAAGTGAGCTGCTTGGTTTGCCAACTGTTTCCCACTTATCTTTTTCACTGCTGAGATACCTGTGATCAGGGAGGTGTTGAGTTCAGATTCATATGTGACCATTAACGAACCACTTAAGGGACTTAATTGCCAGTGAGTCGAGAAAACTCCAATGGATCTTCTCATCCAGCACTGAATTCTAAAGTAGTAAGAAGGGCAAACTCACCCCATTACTTCCTGTTCCCACTATCCCCTCATCACCTCCAGGTAAACTTGCACCTTTATATTGTTAATTCATTCTGTATACTTGGTGATGAAACAAAGGTGACTGATGGTGTGGTTTGTGGTGTGAGCGGTCAGAGGTAGATGGTCTAAAATATAAGCAATATGAAAGAAGTGAGATGACCCCTGTGAACATCTTACCTCAGCTTTTGACTACCCTTGTAACAATCTCCAATCCGGTTTTGGGGCTAGCATTACCCTCCATCCAGTGTCCATTTCTCACTACCATCACCACCAAACCCACACCCCCACTCCACACCCAGTTTAACATCCCCAATTAGGGAACTCATATTCTATGTTCATTTGTGATGCCAAGGCATACAAAGCTATAAGCCAAGTGCTAGAAAATGGGATTAGGATAGTTAAGTGACTGTTATTGGCCACCACAGACTCAATGGGCTGAAGGGCCTATTCTATGATGATCCATTAATGTTGGCCATGGGATTAAATGTTGGTCAGGACATCAGGAAGACCCCTGGCTCTTCTTCAAATAGTACCCTACAGTCCTTTATATCTACGTGAGAGGTCAGCTCAATTAATAGCACAGTGGATAAACGCAACACATGGTTCTTAATGATACAAGTTAGGAGGTTCCAGATTCAAACACTGCTCTGTGCTGAATAAGAAAGAAACACACTGCAGCAGCACAGAGCTACGTGAAGATGAGGAAGAGTACCTCTACAATGGATACCCGAAAAACTGGGTCAGAAGATGCCTATCACACGCACGACAACAGGATGAAACTACAAGCCCCGACATACTCACCACACTACCTTACATCAGGAACACACCTGAACTGATCATAAGATTCCAATGACCACTGGGCATCAGAGTAGTACACAAACCCACATCAACCCTACGCCAACTGCTCACCCGGACCAAAGATCCATTACCCACTATGGACAGGACCAATGTCATGATGTCAATGTCAATGACAAGATTCCCTGCAAAGACTGCGACAAACACTACATTGGACAAACAGGAAGGAAATTAACCACAAGGGTACACGAACATCAATTTACAACAAAAAGACATGACCAATACTCACTCATCTCCATCCACATGGATAAGGAGAACCACCAATTCGATTAGAACAACACCAGGATCCTGGGACAGGCAAAGCAGAGACAAGCACAGCACTTCTGAGAAGCCTGGTACTCCAGTGTGAAAGCCATCAACAAACACATAGAGCTAGATCCTATATACACTCCATTGTGAAGGAAAACTGGAAGTGAGGTAATCCAGCTCAGCAGACACCAGAGTTTAAATTACAGGAGGGAAAACACAACAGCGCTTCATTGGAGGCTGCACTGATGATGTTACCCAGCAGGGTAATGAAACATCTGCGGAACAATCAACCAGCTTGGCGAGCCAACCAACCACAACATCCACAACCCGAGCTACAAATCTACTCTAAAATCTTAAAGAAAGAAATCAATTAGAATGAATGTTCCTAATGTTCATCTTCATCAAGAGTCAGTTTCATCTGACCAGTGGTGGAGAAATAATACTTATAGCTTGGATAACATCAAGATAGCGCTCACCGGAAAAGTTGACGATAGCCTGGACTGGTGCACTAGATGCAACAGCAGCATAGACCAGATGTGGATACTTCAGTCTAAACCATGCTGCAAGAGATCCAGGATAAGAACCTCCAAAAGCAATCCACTTATTTTGTGTAAGGTTCAATTTCACATCCACCTTAGTTCGAAAGTGGGCAAGGTCTGCAAGTGCCTGATCACTACGGAGGTACTGAAGATTTGAAATGCTTAAATCCCTTAAAGAAAATCACAACAAACACAGCATGGGGGTTAATGAAGGAACAAGAGCAAGGCAAATATTATACCGTCATCTACACGACTTACAATGCTACCCATCTATGCCATCAGCAAAATTAGATTTTCTATCCTATTATCTAAATCAGTAATAGATATGGTGAATATTTAAGGCTCCAGCACAAATCCTTGTCTTCTTTTTAACTCATACACAGATGCTGGCATCACTGGCTAGCCCATCGCTAATTGCCCAGAGAATATTGAAGAGTTGTCTACATTGCTGAACATCTGGAGTCACATGTAGGCCAGACAGGATGAAGAGAACAGTTAGCTGCCTTTCAGGACTTTAGTGAAGCAGATGAAAATCAACAATGGTTTCATGCTCATCATTAGACTCTTAATTCCAGATTTTTATTGAAATCAAATTTCATTATTTGCCATTGCAAGATTCAAACATAGGGCCACAGAACATTGCCTGGGTTCCTGGATTAAATTGTCAGGCGATACCACCACTAGACTATCGACTCGCATATTTTATTGGGTGGGGTTTTTATTAGAGGGGCACTGTCAGTAACATTTTTCCAATCAAAGTACCTGTCCATTGCTCCTATACTTTCACCTGCTGCTCATCCACTTTCCTAATCAAGTTGATAACTATGCCTTCAATTTCATAGGCTTCAAAGTTAACTCACAATTTCTTATGAGGCACATTAGCCACTGACTTCTGAACAAGAACTTGAGTAATATTCACAGATATTCCAATTTCTATAATCTTAGTCATCTCATCAAAGAATTAAATCAAGTCCATGAGAAGAGACCCATCCTTAACAAATCAATGCTGGTTCTCTCTGATCAGTTTCTCTTCAAACTCCCCACAACAGATTTTAGGCTAATAGGTCTATAAGCACATAATTTTGTTCTCTTAACTTTCTTAAATTGTGGAGTGACACACGTAATTTTCTAGTCTAAAAGAACAGTTTCTTTGGTCTCGATGACATTCTCACCTACTTTCTTTAACATCCTTCAAAGGAAATCATTAGATCCTGGCGATGTGTTACATCACACCGCCAATATTTTCTTTGCTATTACTATAATGTTTATGTTAATTTTGGTGAAGTCTTATCCTTAATGCAATATCTTTGAAGTATCTGGCCTGCTAACCTCTTCCTCTGTTGCAGTGACTGCCTCAAAGGCCCAGATTTTCATCCTTGAGGCAGGAAAGATGATTTGGACAATTTCCTGGTGTTGTGATTCTGCTTCCTGTCCACCAGTAGCTATCCATTCTATTTTCAGTTTTGGGGTGGTCGGGAGGGGTAGGGGCTTTGGGCTGGTGCCAGGTCAACAGCCTCCAAAAGCAGGCCAGAAGAAGAAACAAACGCAGGCAGACACCAAGTTGAACAGGTTTAACATGTTTCAGGTCGGGACCCTTCTTCAGAAATGGGGGAGGGGAAGGGGGCTCTGAAATAAAGAGAGAGGTAGGGGGGCAGTAAAATTGACCATGTGGTAAAGCTATTGCTGCCCCCCTCTGTATTTATTTCAGAGCCCTGTTCCCCTCCCACATTTCTGAAGAAGGGTCTCGACCCGAAAAGTCAGCTTTCCTGCTCCTCTGATGCTGCCTGGCCTGCTGTGTTCATCCAGCTCCACACTGTATTATCTCTGACTCCAGCAGTGGCAACTCTTACTTATCTCTGAACAGGTTTAAAGATCTGTGTCGCTTCCTAGTTCAGTTTGTTCAAAGAACATGAGGCCCCGTAACTCTTACCCACTCCCTCAACTCACATGCCCACTCACCCAATATCCTCTATATATAGAATCACAACTGAAAAAAAAACCCAATACGTGCTTTGGCTGCTAGAGCAATTCTAGAACAAAATAAGAACAGAAATCAAATATCATGCACAGTAGTGAAAATTAAAGCAAGCACAACGTTTTAACCTACGTTGTTGGCTGACTTTTTCCATAAAATCGATGCTCTATCAGTATACAGAGGGCACCCAACTTTTCTGCAAATGTCAACCAGGCACCATAGTCCATCCATGCTGGGTTTGCAGTTCCTTCTCCACCGATCATCAAAAAGACGGGACCCCCAGGCTGATAAAATGTATCATTGATATAAAATCTCTGGGAAAATAAACATAAAAATGGAGCAGCACGAGTTTGCCAAATTGACTTGAATTTTATTCAAAATGTACACACTGGTCATTATTATTTCAACAATATTAAATTCTAAAGTTAATTACTGAATGAAAGACTGAGAAACTAGACCAAACCTTTGCACTGTGACCAATAAATAGTAGCTACAACAAAGAGCTTCTTGAGGGTAAAGCTCAGTTGTCTTCTGGGAAATTATCCCAACAATAAAAAGAACAAGGTCATTACAAAAATGGATTGATCAAAAGAAAGCAACCTCAAGGACATTAAATACATCAGTCAAATACTCATACTAACTTATCAGCAATTATATGATACTGCTACAGTAATATTTTTACAGATGTACCTGTCTGCTATGGAAAACCTGTTTTAGAGATGAACAAAACTAGGAATTGTACTGCCAAGATGGGCCTTTTAAATGGTAGTAAATTCTCACCCACTTTTAAGAATTCTCCAATAGTAGAGTTTAATTTTTTACATTTATTCATGGGATGTGGGCATCACAGGGCCAACATTTATTGTCTATCCCTAATTGCTCAGAGGGCAGTTAATAGATAACTACATTGCTGTGGATTTGGTGTCACATATAAGCCAGACCAGGTAAGCATGGTGGTTTCTTTCCCTAAAGAACATTAGTGAATGAGATGAGTTTTTCCCAATAATTGATAATGGTTCATGGTCACCATTAGACGCTTAATTCCAGATTTTTATTGAATGTGTATTCTATCATCTGCTAAGGCAGAATTTGAACCCGGGATTCCAGACTACTACCTGGGTCTCTGGATTAATAGGTCAAGCAATTGCAGAATGCCATCAAGTTAACAAGTTACTACCAACCTATTCACTTTATATACCATTTACCCTGTTACAAAGCAGTTGCTCAGGATTATTTATACCCATCCTTACTGCTGACAAAGAAATTGTCAGACTTAAATGTGTGCTTGAGTGGATCTTTGAGCCACAGTTTCAGGTGCAACATTTTGCACATTTCCATGGAGTGCTTATAAACAAGTGCAGCTAGCAAGATTCTGCACATGTGCAAATTTTCCAAGGTATGTCAGCTGGTATTTTAGTTGATGTTGCTTTATTTTGCTTCATTATTTCCTCCTGTACTCTGCATGATGGCGAGAATATTAGCATTAAATGGCAAGGATTCCTTTACTTCTAAAGTAAGAGGCAACCCATAACTTTGAAACCCATATTAAAAGTACTACAATGTGATGAAACTGGTGAGAAGGCAGTAACAGTAAATTAATTTGGGCTCCCACTGACAATTGAGTGCGCCATCAAGAAAAGCAAAAATAAGACAAAGACTTGTGTCCAAAGTACTACTCCAGTAAACACAGTGAAGATTTTAACTTTTGGGCAATGCTCTAGGGCCATCCTTCAGATCTGATAACCTCTCCACAGAAATACATGTAGATAATCACCCCAAACACAACTTATCATTGATTTAACCCACAGATGAAAATATTGTCACTGGGTTCAAGCTGATAAAATACAAGTTCTGGTGGGGCTACAACGTTATTCAGGAAATTAACAATACTACATTGCTTGGGAGGAGGTTAAACAGTTAACCATGAACAATGTATGGCATAAGTTTATCCACAAAACAATTTGTGAATTTCATGGCTTTGATGAACTTACCAAATCTATTTCCCAAGGCATAAAGATGTGGTAAGATTCTTTTTGAAGTAGGCAAAGATAATGTTGAGAAGTTTTCTGAAGCTAGGTACAGACTAAGAGGAGAAATGTAGCTGGAGTGAAAATGTGCTATATCAGGGAAAGATGAAGAAGAGCAGTAATCATCACAAAGCAAGCAACAAACATTGTAGCACATGTCAGAAGCTTTCAAGCTCATTAAATGAGCACTAATTTTTTAAAAAAGATTATAAACCTTCAGCTCTCAATCATTCGAAAAGTGATGAAAAGAAGTAACAGTGCTATCAAGCAGCACTTGCTTCACAATAACCTGCTCAGTGATGTTCACTTTAGGTTCCACCAGGGCCACTCAGCTTCTGACCTCATTATAGTCCTGGCTCAAACATGGACAGAATAGCTGAATTCCAAAGGTGAGGTAGAAGCGACCGCTCTTGATATCTAGGCTGCATTTGACTGAGTGACCATTTGATCAAAGAGCCCTAGCAAAACTGGGGTCAACGGGAATCAGAGGGAAAATTATCTACTGGGCGGAGTCATATCTGGCACAAAGGAAGATGGCTGTTGGGGCTCAGTCATCTTCAAATCCAGGACATCTCTACAGGAGTTCCTCAGTGTAGTGTCCTTGGCCCAACCATCTTCAGCTGGTTTATTACTGATCTTCCCTCCAACATAGGATCAGAAGTTGGGGAGATGTTTGCTGATGAGTGTACAAAGTTCACCATTTCCAACCACTTAGACACTGAAGCAGTCCACGTCCAAAAGCAGCAAGACCTAGACAATATTCAGATTCATTAGCGCTGCACGGTTCCAGGCATTATTAGATTCTCTCTTGGAGATGACTGTCGCCCCTCGACATTTAATGGCACTACTGTTACTGATTTCCCCCATTACTAACATCATGGGAGTTTCCATTGACCAGAAAATGTACTCAACTAGCCATATAAGTACTGTGGCTACAACAGCAGGTCAGAAGCTGGGAACACCACAGCAGGTAACTTGCCTCCGGACGCTCCTAAACTATCAACCACCTTCAAGGCTCCAGTCAGGAGTGTGATAGAATATTCCCCACATGCCTGCATAAGTGCAGCTCCAACAACACTCAAGAAGCTTGACACTAACCAGGTCAAAACAGCTCACTTGATTGGCACCATCTCAACAAACATCCATTCCCTCCACTACCAATGATCAGTAGTAGCTCTGTGTATCATCTACAGACTGTTACTGAAATTCAACAAGGCTCCTCAGGCAGCACCTTCCAAAACCCATGAACACCACCATCTAAAAAGACAAGGGTAGGAGATACATGGGAACACCAACATCTTCAAGTTCTCCTCCAAACTGCACATCATCCTGACTTGGAACTATATCTCTATTCCTACAGTGTTGCTGGGTCAAAATCCTGCAACAGCCTCACTAACAGCACTCTGGGTCTTCCTACACCAAATGGACCTCAGCGGTTCAAGAAGGTAACTCACCACCACTTTCTCATGAGCAAGTAGGTATGGGCAATAAATGCTGATCCAGGCAATGATGCCCATATCTCCTGAATGAAACAAAAAGACCACCCCAGCCATTTGCATAACTGAGATAACCAATAAAGGGTTAAGCTATCAAAAATATTCAGGATACAGCCAATGCAGAGATGGGCATGACCAAGAACTGCTGATCAAATTTCTGAATGATAATAAACAGATTGGAAGCAGTTTAATGTGGGATGTGGTATTTGCTGTGATATTGTACTTTAACAAGTTCACAACATAACTGGTCTTGTTGGGAGCCACAGTGTTCTCACCACGTGGTGGGATCCATGTGTCCTGGTGTGAAGAACAACACAAGAAATGAATTACTCAACCAGCAGGATGGGTCTAAAAGATGAGTTAATCAACAGTACGATAAAGCCAGGTGAGGCAGGAGAAGCTGGGACCAACAGTCCGGGAGCAGTTCTGAAGGTGGACTTTGTGAGCAAATGCCCCATCAGCAGGCTTGATCAACCTGAGGGCAGACGGGCAGTATCACACTCAAAAGAGAGCATCTGGTTAACGTAATTGGAATATTTACTAATTAACCTACATGAAGTAAATTAAAATACTCTGATTGTTTAAGTGGAAATCTGTATATCCTAGTTGGTACTCAATACCATTGGAAAGCACATAGGACAAGATGTACACAGGTCAACACAAGTAAAGATTAAGATGCAACAATCTATTCAAGCATTCTTCAAACCTACAAACCAAGACGTTATCTAAAATGAACAAAAACTGAGACAGAATAAAGGCCTCCATCTTTTTCCCCCAGTTACTTCTTCCCACTTTATTGATGGGGAGTGATAATTGTCTTTGTGTATTATTTATGTTTGCCTTATATAAGGTGAGTGTTTATGTAAATTATTGGGACCAAAATTCATGGTTGGGAACACGTCTCTTCATGATTCGTTCATCTAAACGGGAAATTTTGCCTTGATAGCAGATTGCATATGTGGGAAAATGCGAAGTTTTTCACTTTGGCAGGAAGAATGAAATAGTAAAGTATTACTTATACTGTGGAATTCAAATTGCAGAGGAGGATTTAGGTGTTCCAGTGCATAAGCCACAAAAGGTTCGTGTGTAGATTTAGCATTAATTAAGGAAGCTAATGGGATGTTATCCTTCACTATGAGAGGAATTGAACATAAAAATAAAGGTAAAAACTGAAAGAACTGCGGATGCTGGAAATCAGAAACAAAAGCAGAAATTGCTGGAAAAGCTCAACAGGTCTGGCCGTATCTGTGGAGAGAAATCGGAGTTAACATTTCGAGTCCAGTGACTCTTCCTCGGAACTGAAAGGTCACTGGACCTAAAAATTTTAACTTTGATGAAAGTAAAGATGCTACGCTTCAGCTATATAGGGAATTGGTAAGACAACATCTTGAATATTCTATGCAGTTTTGGTCTCATTATTCAAGGGAAGATGTGAATACATTGGAGATAATTTAGAGAAGGCTTACCCGATTGATAACTAGAATGGGTAGGTTTTCTTATGAGGATAAGTTGGTCAGTCTGAGCTTGTGTCGACTGGAGTTTAGAAAAATGAGGGATGACTTGATTGACATGTATAGGATACAGAATGGTCTTCAAAAGGAGAGTATGGAAAGCTTGTTTCATCTTGGGGGTGAGTCCAGAACTAGGGGCCAGTGTTTTAAAATTAGGGGTCAGCTTTTCAGGTCAGAGATGAGGAGATTTGTTTTCTTTCAGAGGGTGGTGGAACTTTGAAACTCTCTGCTCAGATGTGGAGGCAGGGTTATTAATTATTTGTCAGACAGTGGTGGATAAATTCTCATTAGGTAGGGGAATCAAGGTCTATTGGGGGTACATGGCAAGATGGAATTTGAAACACAAGCGGAGCAACCATGACCTTATTGAATAATCTTGCAGCCACATGCTGAATGGTCTACTTCTGGTCCTATTAGATAGGTTTCTGTGTCTGATAGGAGTAATTTCAGTTTAAGTCATGTTTCCAGGATTCTTTCTATTACTTAAAACAGAATATTCCTGTATAGAACAATTTTCAGACAGTCATAGGAGATAAGAGAACAAGAAAATATAATTTGATTATTTTACATTTTATTAAATTACTAATGTTTTCTGCTTATTTAAGGTCTAGAGGGAAACTTTTGCATAAATATTTGATAATCCACAAAGTAATAAAAGACACTAATCATTAGGCTTTCCATTTCTCCGTTATTTGCCGGAGGATTTTTTTGAATTGCCTCATGAAATTTCAATTATCTTATCGAAAATCGGCAAAATGTTCTGCAAATGTAGCACAGAACACAATGTATTCTGTTACTAAGCCACATTACATTGTATATGTAGGCGTCTATAAAGCTTTTAGCAGGCAACGAGCAAAGGATTATGCTGGCGGTTTGATAGTTACTGCAGCCCCCTGTATCTCTGAATGAGTAAACTCTCAACAATGCACTGATGGTTACCTGTTTCCACACCCTCCCATCAGCGGCGTTGAAATGATCCAGTCTCTGGACGAACCATTGCTCAGTCCCTTTAAAACGTGATTTATGCCGTACAATCCGGAGGTACCTCGAATTATGAAAACCTAAAGCACACCACTCACAGGAAACCAAAAGAACAACAGACAACACAAGACGAGTCATCCTCATCACCGATATAGCCTCACTACACATTTATAGACATTATATGAAGACGTTTATCAAGAAGCAGCGACTTAATGGACAAAAACTTCTTGGATCAGCTGATGCTACACAAGTCACTGGAACAGTGACATCTGGCAGTCGCATCCTGTACAGTCATGTGGCTCACAACGTTTCACACTGAGCAAAGTTGGCAAAGTAAGAATCACAATTGTACTATTTCGGCATCACAACTGACTGAGTTACATCACAAAGCTATTGGAAGGAAGTTCTAAGAATAATGAACGCGTTGCTAAACATCGGCACATTATAGAGTTATCCCGCATAATTCTCCCCTTTTAGTTTCGTATTTGCTGTTATCATTGAAAGGACCATCTCCACGGAATACTATGGAGCACATCTTTCAGATCAGTCCTCAATTAGTTTTTGTTTATTTCAAATTCCTACGTTCTCTAGTTATTACCGAACGTAAACATCTTTGAGGTTATCGCGCAGGAAATGAAATGGATTATATATTTTTAAAATAGTCTATCCTACCGCGATGTACACTCCCAGTCACGCTTGCAGACGCAGACTTTTGGAAGTCTGCTGCCAGCCTCCCGAAAGTAGATTCATCATAAATGTTTTGAGCTGGCCAGTGCGTGCTAGTGAATTGGGATCTAACTTAAGAGTCAGTTGTAAAAGTCTATTTGCATTAATTAGCGTTTTTGCACATAATCAAAACATCTAAATAAGTCACAAACACAACTGGTAGAAGCGTAGTTATTGTTGTGATGTATTATATAGAATTCGATTGAACTTACAGCACAGAAATAAGCCATTTTGGTCCAACCAGTCTCCCTGATTCATTTATCCTCTATGTCTTTATTCTCTCTCATTCACCTATCTAGTTTTCCCTTGAAGCCAGCCACATGTTTTTAAGTTATCCACCCACCCCCCCCACCCGCAAAAAAAAGTGAATTCCACATTCTAATCACTCGTATAATTGAGTTTATACTAATTAGTAACTATTTTATAGTGATGGCCAATAGATTTGGAGTCCCCACATGTGGAACAGAGATCCTATCAAATCCTTCATCATTTTGCAAATTATCAACACTCAATATTCACGTTTCTGAAGAAAACAGCTTCATCTTGTTCAAACTTTCTTGGCAGGTATAACTGGTAAGTTCTGTTATATTCCTTGGACTTTTTTTTTGCATCTTCAGTTTATCAATTTTTTTCTGTTGAAGATCAGCAATCTGTGCAACAGTACAAGTCTGATCTAACCTTCTATATAATTTTAGCGTAATTTCCCTAATTTTCAATCTTACTCCATTACAGTAGAAAGGTATTAGGGTGAGCAGTTAACATTATATGATGTCCCATGAACGACTTAATAACAGTAAATCTTAGTTGGTGTTGATTTCTGGCAATAACTTTCATTGTATGAAAATATGCTTTATTCGTAATCTGTTGACTATTACAGGCAAAGGTTGAGGATAAAAGACATGAGGATAGCTGTTTCTGCTCTAGGCACAGTCGAGAAATAGTACCCAATATGTGCTTTAAATTGAATTAACTGGGTTAGGCTTTAAGGACTACAAATTTGGTACCCCATGCTAAGAAGGACGTTAGCATCAGTGTGCCTTGCAGGCACTGGAAGCATCCCAACTGATCAGACATCTATGCTCGTCTAATTCTGGCCTCTCGTGCTTTCCTAATCATAACTGTCTTACCATTGGTGGCAATGGCTTCAGTTGGTTTGACGTTTCCTTAAAACATACTGCTTTCATTAAACTTGGTCATCTAACCTAAGAGCTCCCCATGTGGCTGTGTGACTTAATTTGTTTGATTATGTTTCTGTGAGGCATCATTTATTTTTGAGAAAGATCTGACTTCATCTTATTTTTATTTTCCCAGAAGCGTTTTATTGAATTGCAAGTAGAAATCTGATGTACCCTTGACATCATAGAAGATAATACTTGTTTTATAATAAGTACTTTAAATATCCATTTTTCTTTATTGTTCTCACGTTACCTCTACACTGTTTTCATTTTGTAATGGAACACATATTTCATTACATTTATTGTTTGCTATGGACTTATCTTGATAATTTCTTTCCTTTATTCTTGTATGGGATGTGGGCATTTCTGGCAAGGCCAACATTTATTGTCCATTTACTGTTGCCCTTGAACTGATTGGCTCTAATTGGTCACTTCAGAGGATAGACTTAACTACCACATTGCTGCAGATCTGCAGTCATACTTAAGCCACCAGGTAAGGATGGCAGATTTCCTTCCCTAAAGGGCATTAGTGAATAGATGTGATTTTACAATTGACAATTGTTACATTGCTGACTTTTCATTCCAGGTTTTATTAAATTCAAATTTTAACTTCTGCAATGGTGGGAATCAAATACATGTCTCCAGAACATTTGTCTGGTTTTCTGGATAACTGGTCCACAGACATTACCATTATCTCATTTCTTCGTACAAAGATGTTGCATTACATTTGCACAGGCTTCTGTGAAGAGTTATTCAGGGTTTTCTAAGAGTTTTAACCGTGCTGGAGAAATGTACAGGAGCAGAAAATTTCTTCAACTCTGTTGAAATTAAGTTGAATCAGAGACTAAAGCAGAAAAGATTTTCAAGAACATTTTGTGGTAGGGCGGCAACCACAAAGTACTGCACCTTTTGGTGAGAAGAAAACATCTAAAAATATTGCTTTTTGCAACTTTGGAAGTGATGGTAAATTCTGCGACAAGTAACGCAAAACTCAAAAGTTTAAATTTCCAAGCAGAATGTCATAGATTTAGGCTTCAATGATTTCTTTCAAATTTATCTCCGAACACGTTGACATTCTTCAACTAGGCCATTGTGAACAATCTTAAAGATCAAAATGTTTCAGCATAAAGGAGAAAAACATTGAAAATGCACTGTATGTGATCTTGGCAAAAATCATCTTTCTATAAATTCCACAATCACAGCTAACATCACCTAACATAAAATAAATCAGATGACAATCTAACACCTGGAAAAATATGAATGGAGAAGAAATTTAAAAGGAAGTTTTAGAAAGATATATTCTTCCATCATCTAGAAATACAATAGTTTGTGCCAGTAATAATTCCAACTCTAAACCCTTAATGCAAGCTTGGAAAGAATTGGCTTAACTTTATTACACCTTGATAAAGGTTAGCTGCTTCTGCGTATAGTAACCTTAACTCCCTTTACTGAAACAGCTTCCTCCTTGGTATCCATATCACGGTGCATTGTGCCATGTACAGTCAGAATCTGAAAACATATCAATGAGATCAATAATTCCAATTACAAAATATATCTGTCCGTGGGTTAATCTGGTTGAAATACAAAGAAGAAATTATAAGAATTTAAGAAATGAGCTCATATTTATACTGCATTTACAATGTCAGAAAGTTTAGAAACTGGCAATGAGGTCCATTTCTCATGTCTAATTCTAAATGTGACATGAAATATACAAGCATATTTAAATGCCATTTTTCACACAGTTGCAATAGTTTGGCTGTCAATGTGGTCTCTATTTGCAATTAGATGATCATTTAGACGGGGCTTCCGCCTTATAATGCTTGTTTGCACTGATGCGCATTCAAAATATTTTGCGTTGACATAAACTGGTCATGCAATAAAGCCAATGTTATTAGATTGTACAGGGAATTACTGTTCTTTAAGAATCAACAATTAACCTCTCATTTAAAAATTGTATTTCTCGTACATAACAATATAAATGTATTCTTACCTTATAAGGCTGACTCCATGGCCCTTTTCCAGTCACATTCACTGCACGGACCCGGAACAAGTACTCAGAGTTTGTGTTCAGGTTAGTAGCAACAAAGTTTGTGCGTCTGATTCCAGAGAAGACCCCAGCTTGATATTGAGGTATAGCCATCTCCTTGTCAATTGAAATGATCTCTTGGAACTGCAGTTCAAAAAAGAATACAGTGCATTCTTCCACTGGAAACAGCCATTTCACCTATTTAGACAAAATTTAAAACAAACGGATGGTAAACTTTGAAGTAGTACTGGTGGTTGACATTCCCTGGTGTACTAAATAACATTAAACAATGCAGATAGATGGATCAGTAATTCATTTGTTGAAAAATTCATAAAAATGGCAGGTGTTGAATCATGATAACGATATAAATAAAACATGGAATCATCATGTATAACATAATTATAGACATCATATTTAAAAAGTATAAAATAATAAAAGGACTGCTGAAAAATAAAATGAAGTATGTATACATATAATTACAATATATAGTAAAATTCTGATCACTTTAATTGACAGAATAAAATGCAAAATCCACTGTACTCCACATTTTGTTTAAAGATCATAAATTATATGTTTCAGAGATAGTAGGAACTGCAGATGCTGGAGAATCTGAGATAACAAGGTGTAAAGCTGGATGAACACAGCAGGCCACGCAGCATCAGAGGAGCAGGAA